TCTTCATGACTAACATTATGGTATAGAATATTGGGGAAGTGGCTGACCCTCACTCTCTTGGTAGATAAAAGCATATCTATAGGGTCCACAAACTTCACATTTTTTGTCATATTGGAGCCCATGGTGTTTACTCACAGGGACAAAACTTTGAGAAATTTTAAGCATTTTAAAGCATTTTTGTAATCAATTTAACAAGATATGGGTTTTTTTGGAAATCTCAGGTTAATCTATCTATTTTGATTGGTGAAACCGAATTTGTGCATGCCTTTTTTAAGATGGGGCATTTTATTGGTTTCACTACTTTTATTTATGCTAATTCTATTTTGACTGGAAAAAATAGTTTGTGGAATAGCATAGCGGCTTTGGTGTGATACGACAAGCATAGAGACATGATAAGGTATGGAGTGCTTGGTTTATTCTATGGAAGCTACATAAAAGGGAAGCATCCTTTCTGAGAACCTGGAATTGAAACACATTATGTGATATACATAAGAAGATTATGGAGGCTGAGGATTTGGTGAATAAGCTTGAAGCCTAATAGAAGTGTTCTCCTAATTTGGTGCAGGAACTGTCGGAGGTACAAATTGGTTTGGTTGATGCTATTAAATTGGAGGAGGTTTTGTTATGTTAGAAAGCGGGGGAAATTTATTTTGCTGAAGAGAATAGGAACTCTCACTACTTTCATGCTTCAATCAAATAAAGGAGGAGTTCTAACACAAATTTAAGGATCCAGGATGGCTCTGGTAGCTGGATCACTGATCCTATGGAGTTGGGTGCAAGTGTAGTACAATATTTTGCTAAAATTTTTGATACTATTGTGCAGGATCCTCTTATTGATGAGTCTCTTTTTTTAGAAGATAAAGATTATAGTTCTAGATCCTATGGAGTTGGGTGCAAGTGTAGTAAATCTATTTTGATTGGTGAAGTCTCTTTTTTTAGAAGATAAAGATTATAGTTCTAGCCTTAACCTTTGCTGTATTCCAACTACAGAGGAATAATTGGAGGCCTTCAAAGGTGTTGATAAAAACAGGGTTGCTAGTCCAGATGGATTCACTTCCAATTTTTACATAACATACCGGAGCATAATCAATGCAAGCTATCCAAAGTTTTTTTCTTGGTGATAATGCAGACAAATTTTTTGCTTCCTATACGATTGTGTAATCACTAAAAAAAGTGATAAATCTAACTGGGATCAATTTAGACCTATCATCTTAACATTTGTCATATCTAAAGTGATTAGCAAGCTTGTTTTTGCTAGGTTACAACCCCAGCTAGCTACTATCATCTCCCCCCAACAATCTTCATTTGTTAAGGGTAGGGATATAATTGAGAAAATTTTCTTGTCTCAAGAATTGGTTGAAGATCTACACAAGAAATGTAAAAGTGGTAATATGGTGTTCAAGTTAAACATAAAGAAAGGTTAGGATACAATTGATTGGAATTTCATATCGAATATCCTCCAAAGTAGAGGATTGATTACACAAGGATTTTTGTATGTTGATCAAGAGGTCGCTGGAGTGCAATTATTACACTATTCTACTAAATGATTCTACTCATGATTTTTTTTGCTGTTAAAAGGGGCATCAAATAGAGGGACCCTCTTTCCCCTACTATATTTATTATAGCATTTGATTATTTCTCCAAATTATTTAACAAATTTCAAGAGAGACATTCCTATGCTCGATATTCTCATAAATCCAATGTTTTGGTGAGCCATTTGACTTATGGTGATGATGTTATCATCTTTATTATATCAGATTTGGCCTTCCATAAATCTAAATGATTTTTTTACACTGGAAAGTTGGTGAGGAGGGATAGATCTGCTTGGATTGCCAACTATTTGGTCACAAGGCCAACCATCCCATAAGATACCTTAGAGTTGATACTATTAGGCGAAGAAGATGGCAAACCCAGATGGATGGTTTTGTGGAGTAAACTAAAGGAAAAATTGGTGATTAAAAAATTTTTTTCCTATCAAATGATTGTAGAATTATTTTGCTTAAAAGTATTCTTTGCAGTATTCCACTATAAGGTATTTAGGTTTTGAATATGAAAATAATGAACTTTAAAAACATTGGAAAGATGTTTTAATAGGTTCTTAGGCATTGGTAGATCATTTAAAAAGATATGTATGTCTTGGAAATCGGTATGTAAGCCTTTTTCTTCAATTGGGTTTGGGCTCAAAGATCTAGATCATGTTGTTGAAAATAATATGAGAAAACTGTGGGTTAAGTTTAGGAAAAAGGAAAAAGGAATCTCTCTGGGCTAACTATATGCATCAAAAACACTTTTGCTCTTCCCACCCATCCTGGGTGGAGCGGAAAGTGGGACACTCTAAAATTTGGAAGTCAATAGTTAAAGCTAGATGTATGGCTAAAAATTCCATTTTTTGGGATATAGGAAAGGGGGATATTTCATTTTGGCATGTTTTATGGTTCAATACTGTTGAATACAATCCATCTTTCATACTTCTTTAGTTTTTGAATTTTTGACTGATAGAAACTAAAACTTATCCCTTATTAGAGAGTCTGTGGGTGCTAATGCTGAATCATTTTCTACAATCCCTATTGATACCTCTAAAAAAGATGTGCCTCACTTTAAATGTAGGGGCCAAGCTTTTGTTGGAAATCTATCTACCTTAACCTTCATACTTTCAAGGAATGGCAGTGAGGCAGGTCTATCTGGTGCAGGAAGTTATCTCCCTCTATGTCTTTTTGTTTGGAGACATTTGCATAGCTCTATACCTTATGATTGTATTTTAAAAATGAGGGGATTAAAAATGGCATCAAAATGTTATTTGTGCAAAACTAAAGAGAAATCTGGTAGGCATTTATTTTTCATTGTAGTTTTGCTGGAGAGGTTTAGTTTGAGGTTGGGCAGCTGCCGGGGGGCTGGTTTATTCATGGTTAGAGTGGATTGGAGGATTGCCTTTGTTGTCGGGAAGAAAATAGGAGAGAGAATATTTATTTTTTCCTTTATTACTTTCATTGTGCTCTGGTTTATATGCTTGGCTAGAAACTCTACTAAATTTGATGGCTTGTTCACCTATGTTAAACATACAGTTGCTAATATAATGACTTATATTAGTAAATTCCACAGAAGTAAATCCATCTCCTCCTCTCAAACTAATTTTAATACTGCTAGGAAACCAATCCTATTCGGATGGTTGCCTCCGCCCTATTGTTGAATGAAAATAAATATAGATGGCAGGTTAAGAAATGGTGTGGCTGCAGTTGGCAGCATTTTTAGAGATAATGGGGGGCATGTGTGAGCTTCTTCTCTTCCCCTTGTGCAAAAGCCTCGTAGAAGCAGAATTATGGATTATTTTCTTGGTGTGTGGGCTTCTTCTCTTCCCCTTGTTGTTCAAAGCCCCGTAGAAGCAGAATTATGGGTTATTTTCTTGGCATTAACAATTACTGCTTGCCAGATTCTCTATTATATGTGAATCTAATTATAAAATGTTGGTGGATATTTTCCTTGGAAAAGTTAAGCCACAGTGAGGTGTACTCAACATTCTGAATAGGATTTGGTTTCTTATTTCCTCTAAAAACCTCATAGTTCAATGGAGTTTTACATATAGAGAGGGTGATAGACCTGCCGGTTGCCTTGCTTGAATCGGTCATTTGGAGTTGAAGGTTGGGGTACATCCAAATGCAAGACTTAAAACTCTATTAGTATGTGATCTTCTGGAGATTCCTTTTATCAGAAGTTAAATGTTCACTTACTGCTTTTTTTCTGGCTAGAGAATTATGCAATGTGATATATCCTTAAATGCCATATACCTACCAATTTGCTTGTTTCTTTGCAATTTGGCTGTATAGGTCTCTTGCTAATTGTTTTCTGCTCTCCCGGCCTTGGGGTGCTGCTGTGAATGGTGTCCTGCATTCATGACAGCTGTGGAAATCTTATATCCTATAGGATATTCCATATACTTGGGTGGCGCTGCCTTTTCTCGGGGTTTGTCTTTGCTTGCAGAAGATTTTGTTTGGTGCTAGTACCCCTAACCTTGGGTGGCTATGGTGTTGACTCTGGCTTGTGGCTATTCTATTTCTTAATCCTCTGGTTGCTAAATTTGAGTTTTCTTTCTGGACTTGGGATGATGTCTCTACTGGTATTTGTGATAGAGGTTTCCTTTTGTTGGTTGCATATGATTTTCTTGGTTGGTTGGGGTTTGTTTTCCTGCTTTCATAATATTTATAGGAGTTGCTTTAAGTGCCACTAGGCTTCTTTTTTGGACATGCACTGCCTCTCAATTTTCCCTGCTGTCCTAGGATGTCCCCTCTTTTTGTTGCTACTAATTTTTTTTAATTTAAGGTTGCCTCTAATTAATAGTGTCTGAAGCATTTTATTGCAGGATGGGGGATCTGTTGGGTTGTTTGGACCTACTACTTTGCCCTAATTCTATTGGTTGTGGATTGGATTCAAGTGGACTTCTCTTCATGTTGCAGCATAAGAATTTTGTGAGCCCTCAATGCATGTTTTGGATTCCAAACTACTGTTACTGACTGAACTTGCTACTACTTAAGCAATGGTTTAGAGTAAACATTGGCGTCTTTACATATTTATCTATTTTGTGCGTCTTCTGCTATTTATTGGAATTTCTGGTTTATAGGTAAAGATCTAAGAGTATACATTTTGGATTATTTTTTATTTTGATTTTGGGGTATATTTGTAAGTTTTTTGGAGACTTTTTTTTGTGTGGAGTTATACTGTTAGAGGTGGAAGCCCTATGAGTGTGTATTGTATCATTTTAGGTTTAGTAGTGGGTATCCACCACCACACCCTCCTGTTACTCCTTTTTTGATGAAATAAAATTACATATGAATTTCCTTAATATATATATATATATTGATGAGTAGTATTTTTTAAAATTTTAATAGACTATAAGGCCACAAAGATTTATTAACAATTAAAATTATTAAATAAAAATATAGAATCAAAATATATTAAATTATATGTAAATGAAATTTTATTATAAACAATAAGATTTAAATCTTGCCCCCAATTATTAACATCCTACAGATACGTGATTTTAGTTGCCAAAACAGCTCTTTGTTCACGATCGTGCTCGGCTCGCTGAGTAAAGGAACCGAACACAAAGACACTTATTGTGTTCAAAATATAAATGAGCCGAACACAAACAGTAATATTTTTAGCAAGGCAAACATGAGCTGAGACTGGACTCGCTAGTGTTTGGCTCATTTACGCCCCAACTTTCCACCATGAAAACCACTTACTCGCTACTCCTTCCCTCTTAATTTAATCGTCTCCACAACCAACTTTGAACACCGGGACAATTCTGACCTGGAACGGAAGTTAGCCAACAAAGATGAAAATTCTCAACACGTTTTCTTACATATTTTTTTGCTACAGAAGAATCAAACCTGAAACTCTCACACTCATAGCTTACCTGAGGCTGGAAGTTAAGCCAGAAATATCATACTTCCGCGTATAACACATCGGTTGGTCTTCCATGCCTCAAGCCTGCAAACAAACTCTTATTCTGAAGAAAACTCTATTATTCAGCAATTTCGACGGGTACAGCACTCCTTCATAACGATGAATGATTTGAACTGATGGTGATGAAGAACTGACAGAAGCAGAATCTCTCGATTTGAAACTTAACTGCTGGGTTTCTGTTCATTTCCTTGTGGAACCTGTAAAAAAGAATTTAAAAGTAACTTTAAGAAAATTTAAACATGTGTAAACATAATTTTGAATTAGACAATTCGATGAGATCCCCTTAGACTTGCGTTTTCCAGAAAATAATTTTAATCTAGTATTGTATAATAAAACTTATTGTCCAGACTCAAAATTCTTTTTTCATCTTTTCCTTAAAAATTTTAGCATTTTCATAAAATTCATTCCTAATTTACTTGAGCTCATTTAATTGCAATAATCATTTTTCTCCAACATTCTTTAAATTATAATTAAATTGTTTTATAGCCCAATAAGTTTTATGCTCTAACTCAACTGGTAAATGACCAGATTTTTCAAATATGAGCCTATATGGAGATTTTTCTATAGGAGTTTTATAAGCAGTCCTATAAGCCCATAATGCAGAATCAAGTCTATCAGACCAATCAGTTCTATTAGGATTTACAGTTTTCTCCAAAATTATTTTAATTTCACGATTAAGCCTAAGAAAGCTAATGATGATTTTTGGTCATCAAAAGTTCTTCTCATGGACAACAATTCTTTCAATTAGATGAAGGTAAGTATAATTGGCAGTAGTTTTTCTACATCACTGTGCAAAAAATTGAAGAGGTGTCAGAAAGGGTGAAAAGCTTAAGGCTTTAGAACAAGATGGTGAAACTTGTTTCAAGGTAAATGTTGGAACTCTATTTACAATTATAAAGAAAATTTAGAGATATTCAGAAATAAGTAAATGAACGAGTTATCAAATGAATACTAACCCCAACTGAAGTCACAAAATTGCAGACTGCACATTTTACAGATCTTGCACCATACTGATACATCAACAGCATGCGACAGTTTCCACAGCTCACATGTGCAACCTGATTAGCTGAAACCACAGCCAGAAATTATCATCAATAATTTTCTTAAACAAACTCTTAAGTTTAGATTTCTCTAAAAAATTCATATTTTAATTTTCAATCCAATTATACTTGCAAGCACGGCATCAAAATAATATGCAGCGGTAAATAAAATGGTCCATGTAAATACAAAATCGACGAGAAAAGATACATGATTACAAGGAAATGGAGAGTAATTTCTTGAAAGAGTGGCTTTAAATAGATATTAATGACCCTCAGTTCCTCACAGACGTATTTTCTAGTTCTTACATATGATAGTAATTTCTAGACATTAAGAAATTTAAGAGAATCATGGGCACATGTATTTCTTTAAAACCTTGGACTTGTAAAAGTCTCTAATTTTTTTCTCTAGTGATTGATACTTGTACTTGTAAAAGCACATGAGAATACTGAGATTCTTCTTGCATCAAATAGCTGATAAAAATGACGGTGAAGTACTACAAGTTAGTTCTCACGAGCAAGCTTAAACATTTGGGCTAAAAATTAGTTTGGCCATAAATATATTAGACCCATATTTTGTCCCCCATTTGTCTACTTATCTTAAGTCATTTCTACTACTTTTTCAAATAAGAGATGAATTATTTCTTGTAGATAGAAAACATGTTTTAATGGAATAAATCGTTTCTTTTAGAAATAAAATAATTTTTATGATGTGATGATTTCATTTAAATTCATTTTGAGTAATTTCATCATTTTTTACATAATAATTTCTGATTACATCTAACCAAAGTATGAAATTAAAAATTTTCCTTATTTTGAAAATAGTTTTACTAAGTTCTAGCAACCAAATGAGCCCAAAAGGTAGAGGTAATTTTCAGAAACTAAAGCTTCTGACAATTATCAAAAAAGTTGCATTGTTTGGGAAAAAACTTGGTTTATGATATACCAAGTTAAATTTTACCTCTAGAGGTGATATGTTGAACTCAAAAGCCCAAGATGTTAGTTAATTTAATTATAATAAACATAGTATTGAAGTACTAATTTACACTTAAAATGATATCAGGATTATAGATTGGCAAGGTTTTTAATTCAGGCGCCAAGAAGAAATGTTTGATGATCCAATTATTAAAGAAGCTCAAGATAAGAATAAGAATCTACTAGAGTCATCAGAAAAGTTGGCCAATTTTTGCTAAATATGGTTCAATAATAATTAAATTAGAATTAAATATTCATTTATTATGCAAAATCAAATTCTAATTTGATTCCATTAGATCCAACACATTCTTTGCATTTATAACCATATATAGTATATTATAGGGTACATATATGTTTATTAAGATGCTTGAAAAAGAAAAAATTTAAACTAATTACCAAATTACAATCCATATATCGCCTAGACACTGGCCTTTGTACAATTCAAGCCCTTTTCTCTGAACTTTATTATATATACAAGAGGGACTAGAGAGTAGTTTTTTATGAGGCAGTTTATGTTTTTTTAACCAGTTGTTTTAAACATTAGATTATGATTTATTTAAATCTGAGATTGAGACCTTCTATGAGTTTAAACCCCTATAATGATTCCATCAACTTGATTTATCAATTGATCCAATCTACCAACATTAGATGGTGGAAGGTATAATAACATCAAGGGAATTGGTTTAGCAACCATATGTTGCATTTTTAGTTTTTCCAAGCAAACCGAAGTGAAAATGTACATATGTCAAAGACTTGCTTTGAAGATTGATGTTAACTCATTAAGAAGCAGACAATTGGTCAACTAATTTCATTGAATAATTCAAAAACACAAAGTAGGGCATCTTACAGTATAACAGTACTAAAAAATAACGAGAAGCAATCAAAAACATGCCAAGACCATCAGTTATCACAAATTTTAGTTTGACTCAAAAGTTAACATACTTAGATCTTTGGCTTGTGACATTTTATGCTTGAATGGGGCTTTTATTATGGAAGTTAGCTAGAATTTGATTTAAATAAGGCTTACATTTATTGAAAGTCACATAAGTTGGACCTACTGCCACATGGTCGAGGAAAATTAAGTACTGGTTCTCATAGCCTTACTTTATGGATAAAGTTGGGGGGCCTAGTGATTAAATGGGTTACTGGGCTTGATTGATTTGATTCTAAACGTTTTGACTTGGTTGTTGATTTATATCAGTTAGAAGGCCAAAAAATTAAACATATAACCTTCAGGACAAGGAAAAGCTATTAATGGGTCTTACGCTCTTACTCCATAGGAAAGGAGCCTAAATTAATTAGATTCGACTTAATAGGGACTTATATTCATTAGAAAGCCCAATGTAGGGCTTATTACCTCCAAATAAGGAAGGTCCAAAGATGGGTTTCATGACCTTCTATATGTAAGGTGATTCAATTGACTTCATGCCAAAACTACCGGTTAAGTTGAGGCTAATATCCATTCTAAGGCACAAAAGTGAGACTTACAAGCTCATGGAATACGAAAAGCTCGATGCTGAGTCTGTGTCGACCAAAATAATTGGGTTAAAATAAGGCTTTCACACATTATAAGGTCCATAATGTGTAGTATAGTTCTTGGGTTAAGAATTTACTTAAGTTAAAATCTGAGACTTAATGCTCCGTTTGTGAGCTGCCCAAAAGTTCATGGATTACATGTAAGGTGACTCAATTGACCCATTTGATGCAAAAAATACCTCGTTAAGTTGGGCTAATATCCATTCAAAGGCCCATAAGTGAGACTTGATACGCCCTAATTCCAAGTGTAGAGGTGATCCCACAAGGAGCGGGGAATTAGACTTATGAGAAGTTCAGCATACTAAGTTCAGTTCTTAGCCTAGAATTGAAAATAGTTTAAAGTTGTGCGAACTAGTCCCACTGAATTGCAATCTAGTTTAAAGGTTAGCTCCAACAGAAATCTTACTTATCCTTATTGGTTTGGTGATTATCATGTTCTAAAACCACTTTCCCCTGTAATGGTTTAAGGGGTAGAATAGAAAATGTAAAGTGTCAATTGTGAATGTGGCTAGTGACAAATAGGATGCACTCTCTTCTTTACCCTCTTTCGAGTGCATAATCGGTTTTAATTCCTTAAGTCCGAATTTGAACCCATCAAAAAAGATTATAACCCTAATATATGCATCTCCCTAAAAAGTACTTGCACCATACCCTATAGAACAATGTGAATAACCTAGTTGTTCTACCATAGCTCTCCCGAGTTATTATAGATCACAACAAATTTTAACTAATCACTTAGTCAAAATGAAAAATAAATGAAATTCAGAAGGTTACTCATCACATTCAAGATTAAAAATCAATTTTTCAAACACTTTGCACTCCTACACGGCCTACTCAAACATTACAAGAAAAAGGTCAAAACATTACAAAGAAAACATTGAGAAAAAACCACAAAACATCTTTGAAAACAAGTAAATCCACTATAGAATTGTGTTTACAGAAATACAATAACAAGAGTACACAATACTTAGCTTTCCCACACTTCAAAGTGCTGAGAATGCTTCCCAAGGATCTCCTAATCCCCTTGCTGCTTTACTCAAGTCTCTCCTCACTTTACACTTGAAATTCTCTTCAAATCCCTCACAAATGCTCTCCTACTCTATCCCACGGCAAAGCATCGACAAAAGGCTTCCCAAAATACTCCAAAAGAACCTTTCTTCTTCACTAAAGAACCTCTTTATCGTGTTGAATAACTCCCCACATTGTGTGGAAGAACTGTTGAAAACTGCCTAGACGCATGACTTTCTGTCTGCTAGTTTTTGTAGGGGAGCCTAGGCACCCAAAAATCTGACGCCAAGAATCTAGGGTAGTGGCACTTGGCGCACACTGGCTAGCGTTTAGGCGCAAGCCTTTTGGGTTCCCAGGGTGGGATTGGCACCCAGACGCCCAAGAAATCTGGCGCCAAGACGCTTATGTCCTCCATAGCTCCAAGTTACCTCTACTTTGTTCTACTTCAAATATTTATTGTACCTACAAGAGAAACATAAACATAACTTTCTTTAAAGTGCAATTTCATCCATAAACATATGCAAAACATAAAAGAAATTTAAAATTCTTTGCTACACATCAAAATCCCTCAAACTTAAACATTACTTGTCCTCAAGTAAGACTTGAATATTAATACTAATTTAATTTGATTTGAGAGAGTGAGTTTCATTAAAATTAGCAACAATTTTGCCTCAGAAAATTCAGTGTAAATTAAAAATAACTCTAGCAAACAAGTCTAACCCTGGTATATAAAACAACATTTTATCCAACTATGAAAACCTGATTTCCCATTTACTTTAAAAAAATAATTCATGCTTGTTAGCTAAGGTATCTTAGATGGTGGAAAAATAGAATTTAAACTCTCCATTTAAAAAGAATTACTAATACATCTTACAAACAAGTAGCTTAGGAATGTAATGTAGCTCCAACTTTAAAAAAAATCTAGTGAAAAGTTTTTTTATTAGGCTTCTCCTCAAGCTTCTCCCTACTCAATAATTTTCTTTTAATCACTATTTTTCTTGCTATAGAATATGTATTTCAATCCTTAGCATAATTTTAGGAGGATTATTATATATCGACAGACCTTTAATAGTTTTGAATTTAACTATCATCTTCTTATGGTAAAACATATCATATTCCTCTACTTTTAAAGTTTTGAAAATATAATTTTTAGAGAAACTTAATTCTTATAAAGTGTATATCTCAGGATACCTAGTTATACAAATATATAACTCTTTTCAAAAATGAATAGCAAAACTATTTTCTATTATTGAACTACAGGTTAACACTAGTTTAGTCTCATTTACATAAAATTTAAAATAAAAGATATTATGTCTTTCCTTTTTCAAAATTATAGTATTTTTAAGTTAACACCACATGTCTTAAATCCCTTTAAAACATAACAATTTAAATATAGGTTACTGAGGACAAATATGTTTAAGATTTAAAAAAAAAATTTCTTCCTCCAAACTTAATTTTCAACAAATTAAACAATGTAAAATATGAATATAAGCAAGAGAAAATAACATAA